TATAAGTAAGTACATATTATATATGTATATAAATCTGGGTCGTACACCAATACATACATATATACATAACCTAACTCAAACGTAGGTGTCACATTTCACACCCGACACTCATGATGTCTGCTTGCGTCATTTTCAGCGTTCGAACACATACACCCATAAACACACACACACACACATGCACACCACTCACTACCCCAGTGAAATTCCTCTTTTTATGATTACGTCTCCCATTTTTATGATTGTACGGTATTATTTTACTTCTCCCGTTTCCTATTCAAAACCATTTTGACGGCATTTTGAGCTGAAATACAAATGTGTTTACACATACGTTTATACATTTAACACAGAAATTCAATTTGATCATATAAATATTTTACAACTTTTGATTTTTATATACACTTTTCATTTCTATTTTTTTTTTTTTATTATTTTTTATGCTTATAAATTCTACATTTTGCACATTTATCTTGATTCACAAGCTTATGGTTTAGAAAACATTCAAGTTTGTCAAGTGTAAGGAATTGGCAATAAATTTTTGTTGTTTTAAATAAACACGACATTAAATTTTTAAGCTTTATGTGACATAAGGTGTTATTTTGATATTAAAAGAAAAATAGTATTTTTTGAGATAAATGATCGGATGTTTATTCCAATGTAAAGAGGAAGGTATGCCAGTAATGGAAAACAATATCAGTGAAAAGACCGTCACGGCTAGATTTACAGGGCCGTATCCTTTTTATAAAATTTTCCATCACTAAATCACAAAGTAGCTGCTGTATGCCCTCAATAGCTTCACAAATGCCACACTTGAGGTCTTGAATCGACATTGCCTTGTTAACGGGGACGTTATCTGTCACGTGATCCAAAAGGACGAAGTCAGAAGGTGTTAAGCCAATTGCGATCACCTCTTCGACAGGTAACACTAACCGAAAACCTTTCCCTTAAAAGATCAATGTTTTCTTTGCTTGTGTGGCACGAAGCACCGTTTTGCTGAAAGTAAACTTTGTCCAGATCCAAACATACCATACCATCCACTTCTGGCAACTATTGCGCCAGCCTCATTTTTCGAAAAATTATGATCCAATGACGCCGCCGGACCATAAACCACACCAAACAGTTACACATTGAAGATGAAAACGCTTTTCAAGAATAAGTCTAGGGTTTTTCGAGCCCCAGATGCGACAGTTCTGATGATCAGCTGGCTTGAGTTTTTGTGTAAGCTGAACTTTATAAGTCTGAAGACTCAAGTCTTTATTCAAAATACGGCGTAATGGCGCGTGCCTAGATCTGAGCAGTGACAAAGGTAGTGTCAGACAAACTTGTCCTCCTTTTACGCTCAAGAGCTATTATCGATATATAACTCTCTCCTCTCCTCAAATTATACTCGTTTTCGTCTTTCTCCAGATCTTAGAGTATTTTTGGCCACGAACGAAATCAATACAAAATTTAAGGTGTCGTATTTGAATTGAAAAGATTTTGCTGTTTTGTCTCCTTTGAAATTTATTGGGGTGCTTCTGTATGCAGCGATCCAGAACCCAGATTTGATAACTCTGACCACTTTTCTACTGCACGTCCAAGTCCCTTTTTAGGTAATATGGTAGCATGGTACAGACTTTATGAGTGTTAAGCCTTGCGAATTGATTGCGGATCTATTGTAAGAATAAGACAACTATGAAGTGGATTTTGTTACACGATCACATAGTTACACGATTAAGGATTCATTTGAGTGAAATTTACAGTTCGCTGAATCTTTTAGCTATATTGGCTGTGCGTCAAGGCAAATTCACACACGGTAGTAGGAAAAAAAAAACAAAAAGCCATTGTATTTTATTTGTTTAATCATTGATTCGGAAAATCAAAAACGAATGTCATTTTTTAGTATAATCCAATTTCGTAATGTCAAAACTTATTGCTCATTGATTTTTTTCTGTGTAATTTCTTGAAATTGGAAGAAGAGCAAACAATCATATTATACAACAACTTCACATTCTATAAACCCAGCTTGGCTGTGAGTCTTTGATCTAGAACATTTCATAATTTCAAGTCACCGGTAATGAAAAGAAGACTTTTCTCTAACTCACCAATAACAACCAATAAGGTTTTACCATACATTAATTCTTACCTCAAGTCAAATTCTCAATATGAATACACACATACTCGTACGAGAGAGCAAAGTCCGAAATTCACCGCACCGTCCAATATGCTCCGCTAACCAATCGTAATCGCCCAGTAACTAATCCCGCAAAGTAAAACTGTTTACAACTTTTAGATTAGATTAGTTCGGTAATAACAATTAGTAGATACATTTTATAGTAATGCAGTGTCGTTGGTACTGTTGTAGCTGGAGCTTCTGCTTGCTTCTTTTATTTTATACCATATTATTGTATTTGCTTCTTGCCATTGAGGGCGAGTACGACTACGAGTACGAGTATTGTATTCAATGCGATTGCTACTGTCACCGACCTATTGCTCTGCTGTTGCTATCGTTGCTGTTGTAGTTGTTCTTGTTGCCACCGTAGTTGTTTTTTATTGTCATTAGCAAATGGAGTTGGAATAACAATTGCCGCAGCAACAAATATAGTCGCACATACTGGAGCTGCAGGTTCATCTAATAAAAGTTTGTTAAAAAGTTTAGCGATTGGTTTTTCTGATGTTGTTGTATACGTATATGTATGTATTTGTTGTTGCGCTCGTGCCAAATGATTGGAAATGTTGTGTAACAAATAAAATAGAAATAAATACTTGTATAATAAAATAAGATAAAATGGTTGGTGGTGACTCGGATGCCATGGCACGGCCGCATTGTGTGTGTCGTGTAAATGAAGTGGGAAAATTCCTTTATTTACATTTTTTTGTTTTGGAAATTTTAGTATTCGTGGTAATGTTTGCAACTTTTGGGAGATAAAACAAATTTGTTTACTAATATATTTCAGTACATGAGCAAATACTTGTTGAAGTTTAATTTTCGTCGAATTTAATTAATATGTATATATATATATATATATATATATATATTTAAACACATAAATTATTTAGTTTTTAACTTGTCTCTAAATTCCTTTTTTCTTTTATTGTAATTAATTCTAATTCAGTTTAATTAAACTTTTCTTTTAAATAAACTTCATTTTATATAAGCCTACCTTAAAGTATACTACTCCTAATGTTTTTATTTATTTTTTCTTTTAGTTACTTTATTATTTATTTTGTAACACATTTTTATGACAAAAATTCTTATTTTATTATTTAATCTTTATTATTTTATATTATTTTTCATTATTTCGCGTCGTGTTCATCTGTGACTATATTCATTTCAAAGGTACTGTCGTTTTCAGAAGATGTCATTTCTTTTAGAGTGAACAACAATTTGTTTCATTCATTTGAAAAGTTCGTAATTTGTACCAGATAAAGTGTTTTTGCGTGGAGTTCTTCTTCATTACTTTAACACGAAGAAAAGTGCTACCAAAAGCCATCGTATGTTACTGGACGTTTGAGGGGACCATTTTTTAGCCAAACGAACGTGTCAAAAGTGGTTTGCACGATTTAAAAGTGGCAATTCTGACTTAGACGAAGGACAGCCAAAAAAATTTCAAGATGAAGAATTGGAGACATTGCTCGACGCAGATGCATGCCAGACGCAAGAAGAACTTACAAAAGTTTTAGGTGTTGATCAAACAACCGTTGACAGACGATTAAAATAATTAGGATTCATCCAGAAGCTTGGAAATTGGGCGCCTTATGAATTAAAGCCAAGAGACGTCGAACTTCGATTCTACGTGTCGGAAATGTTGCTTCAACGCCATCAAAAGAAGTCATTTTTTAATCGGAATGTCACTGGCGATGAAAACTGGTTTCATTATGATAACCCAAAGCGCAAGAGATCGTATGTGAAGCCCGGCCAACCATCGACATCCACGGCAAAGCCGAATATCCATGGTGCCAAGATTATGCTATGTATTTGGTTTGACCACAAGGGTGAGCTCTATTATGAGCTATTGAAATCGGGGCAGACGATCAATGGAGACCTCTACCGAAAACAACTAATTCGTTTGAAAAAGGCCAGCGCGGAAAAACGACCAGAATCTGCGACCAGACACGAATCAATAATTTTTCATTGTGACAACGCTCGGCCACATGTTGCAAGGCCAGTTAAAAACTATTTGGAAAACTGTGGTTGGGAAGTTCTACCTCACCCGCTTATAGCAAACACATAACACCTTCCGATTACCACTTGTTCAGATCAATGCAGAATGCCCTCACCGGAGTACGCTTCACTTCAGAAATTGGCTCGATTCTTTCTTGACCTCCAAAACGAAGAAGTTCCTTTGGGATGGTATCCACGCACTCCCAGAAAGATGGGCAAACAACATTGTTATTGTATTCTATTTTTTTATTTAATTTAGTGTTAATTATTTTATTTTAATTTTGTTTACTACGATTTTATTTTATTTTAATTTTTATTTTTTTTTTTATTTTAAAAATTTATTTTTGAATTATTTTATTTTATTTTATTTTACTTTTTTATTTTATTTTATATAAATAATTTAATTTTTATTTTGTATAAATTATTTAATTAAATTTTATGTTATTTTGCTTTATTTGATTTAATTTTGTTTTGATTAATTAATTTTTTTTTTATTATATTGCTTTAAATCTTATTTTATTTCATTTCCTTCATTTCTTTATTTTATTTTATTGAGTTTTTTAATGTTTCACTGTTTTGTTTTTATTCGTATTATTTCTTTCCACTTTATTTTATTTTATTTTAATATATTGTATTTTATTCTATTTCATTTTAATGGTTTGGCGTCCTTCATTTCGCCTACAGGTCGGTAACCGCCTTTATGGTAAATTACACATCTTATTTAGTTGTTTATTTATTTTATTTAATTTTTTATATATTATTCTATAATTATTTTTTTTTTATTTTGTTTTATCTTGTATTCAATATTATTTCCATGTCGTCAAAAATTTTAATTGTATTTTTCACATTTTTCCAATAGTGAAAAAATGTCGGATAGTGAGGACAGCGCTCAACAAATTAGCAATGAAACAAAACATGCTGCAGCGATATTTAGCGATTCTCTGATGGAGGATTGTCCAAATTTCACAGTCAATTTGAAGAATGATACCCAAGATGGCAATGGCATGGATGTTGCCTCCGTTGAAGACAATGAGTTTGCCAAAGATCAACCCGATCCAGATAATATTAAAATGTTTGTCGGTCAAATTCCCAAATCATGGGATGAAACACAATTAAGAAAGATGTTCGAACAATATGGTCGCGTACACACGCTTAATGTCCTACGCGACAAAGTGACGACAATGAGCAGAGGTGAGTCGCATTTTTGAATTTGTTTAAAATTGAAAGAAATATTAATATAAAATATTAAATAAAATTCAAGAGGGAGGTGCTATGACTTTTATGTGGAATAAATTTTATAATTAAATAAAGTTATTTAAAAGCTAGAATTTTAATATTTAAAAAATGTCTTTTGCAATATGATAGCGAAAAAAACACTGTCTCAAAGTTACAATTTTTAAAAGGTAAACTAAAATTAAATAAAAGCGAATAAAAAATTAATAAAGCAATTTTATATAAATTTAATAACACATAAATGCTTTAAGCAAAATAAAGTTGAAAACCCCAACAAGTCTACAAGAAGACTCCTTTCTTATCGGATGCCTACGTGTTAGGGCACAAAGCTAAGTCGTGTAACTGTGGGTTAACGCGTACGATAACAAGTCCGCGTATGTAATTTGCATACACATAAGTTATTTTTATATTCTATTTTTCTTTTAAACTAAATATTTTTCATATCTGCCATAAATATTATTTTCTTATATATGTATTACATCATCTAACATATATAAGCTATATAAAAAATCATATTTAGAACTTGTATTTAATATTTACTAATATAACATTTAATGCAGCAAGTCATTTAGAAGAATAAAAACAAAACAGAAAATGTAGTGCATGTGCCATTCCGTTCGGTTAAAATTAAATGTAACTAGTGTCAAGTCCACGTATAAGTAATGATTTTATCTTCTAGTCACAGTATGTAAATGTGTTGTGTTGATTGTGAGATAAAGAAATTTGTTGCATGCTGCATACCACTTGCAAGAAATCAAAAATGTTTATACTATAAGTAAAAGCAAAAATTTAAAAAATATTTGTCAATATTAACTATGAAGAGCCTCTAAGCATAATACAAAAAAAAAACTAAATCGCAGTTGCATGCCTCATACACGTTTTGGCTTACAGAGTTGCTAAAACTGAAATTAAAATTTATTAATATAATTGATTAAAATTAAAAGCAACGCAAATTTAATATAAAAAAAATTGACTAATTGCATTTTACCAAGTAGAAAGTATCCATTGTCTTGATTTGTCCACGTTTCTTTTCTGATCTATGTATTTTCGTTCTTCTTTTCCGCTTTCTCTGTGTTGCAGGGTGCTGTTTTGTTACGTATTATACACGCAAGGCTGCTTTGAAGGCACAAGATGCCTTACATAATATAAAAACACTTGAAGGGGTAAGTACTTTAGTATTAGGTAGAATATATTGTAATGCCATTACATTTACTGTTATTGTTAATACACCTCAGCCACCCAGCCCACTTTACTGTTATGTTCATTGATATTACCATTTATTTGAAATTGTTTCATTTTTTTGTTGTGTTTAACAATGTTCTCAGGTATGCGAATATTTCATGTGATTTACGTTTTTTGTTTTCGCCAAACTACACAAAGTTTCGGAATGCTTTTGTTGCCTGAGATTCAGTTGAATACAAAAGTGTTAATGTAAAAGAAATTGTGTATGTGTTGTTCGTTTGTTATTTTTTTTTTAATGGAAACAAATATTTCTATATCGAGTACAGTTGCTTTCAGAAGTCTATGTTTATAAAAAATTTTACATGATATAACTAGAGATATGTAAAAGGTTATTATTATTTTTTTTTTAATTAAATTAGTTTTCCATAACTTTTGGATGTTGGTGGCACCGGGATATGAGCCCGAATGTCAATACGCGAGTAAACTGCATCAAAATCATTATTTTTATAAAGATCCTTAATTATTATTGTATATAGTTTGAACCATGAACCATTATATGTGAAACACAATCACTTTCATTCAAATGAGCGCCCCGTGAATTTTCGCAAGCTTCAATCTGCTGAAGGTAATTTCCGATCACTTACTGGCACATATTGGGTGGTATCTCAGCTATTGCTTGAACTATGTTGGTTTGCGCTGCTAAAAATTAAAATTTTATCCGGTTTTTCGCATAGCCCCATTAAAAAGTAGCCCAACGGTGTCTAATCGTATGATTACGGTGGCGCCCAGACGAGAGATTTAGCGGCCGAATTCAGCCGTGTTGTATGGCATGTGATACATATTGTGTTGAAACCACAAATTAGCCAAGTCGATTTCATCATGCGACCATAGTGCTACAAATAGATAGTAACAGTCTCGCCTTTGCCGTTTTCATAGAACTAAGCTCAGAAATGTTTCTTATAAGGGTGGGCTGCTTCTCAAAAATCTACTTGCCAACATAGATACCATCACAAGATCAGAGTTCCGTGATCGAGCAACCTGTTTAACTAACTAATTGAATAGATTTCTAAATATCTATGTATTTAACGGTTAGATTGAATTCAAAAGTGATTGCAAATTTAGCCGACTTAAGCGATTTAAACGACTTATTTGAGGATTCTCCGAAATACAACCGCGACAGTTTTGCATATTCAGGTGTCCTCGAGTGACATGTGCCTTGCCACTGTAGAAAATTATGCTCAGTAAATTCCCGTCCACTGCTGGCTTCAGTTGTTATGAGAGCTTGGACTTTGTATGGTATTAGATGTAGGTCTAAGTGCAAAACACGCCATAAAGTGCCGTAAGAAAGTTCTATCTATTGAGAACGTCGATAAATAGACACATATTCCGATCTCCGATTAGGGTTTCATGAGCCAAATGATGATGCACAGGGCTTTTAATAAATGTAACTGGCACAGTATATTCAAATTTCCTTAACAGTTTACCTATGGGTTGAGCAATTGGGCATTTGGGTACACCGAAATTTTCTGGTATCGTTTGAATCAGCATTTTGGTAGTAGACTTTAACAATTTTGATGTGTTCAGTGTGTGTGTTTTTTGTGTGTGTTGGTTAAGCGATCTATTTTCATAATTTCCTGACTTTTAACCAAAAGAAAACGTGTTTGGTTTGACAGTTAAGTTTGACAGGTGTCTAAAAACAACTATTTACCTTTGAAATCACGAAATTGATTACCCTAAAGCGATTTTTGGCCGAGCTTCTCCTCCAATTTGTGGTTTTGCCGCCTCCGAACGTCTAATGGTTTTTTTTATGAGAAGCCTTTTATTTCATGTCAGAAATACACTCAGACGGGTCGACATTCCGTGTAGAGGGGCGATCCCAATTAAAAAATTTAGCTTAATTTTTTATTTAAATTGATTTTCTATAATTTTTTGGTTGTTAATACGGCAGTAGGATTTGAACCCGAGACTTCCAAAAGGCAGTACGCAATGCCAACCCCTCAGCTACGGCGACCGCCGAGTATTTACTTAAAAAAAATATTTTCAGGCGAAAAGCCAAATATTCAAAGAACAGCATGGTCCAAGCCAACTGTGTCCAACCAAGAAAGAAATTATACTCCTCTGAAAAATTAATTCTTAAGAAAAAATGTCATGAGATAGAATCTGTTACTCTCTTTTTTATGGTAAAAAGAGAACTAGTTCAGCATTAAACAGTTTCAGTTAAACTTTTATAAGCGGCCTTCAGTAAATCGTTCATCCAAAATTATTATTTTTAGTAAGCATTTTTTTCTGAGCTACAGTGATTACGAAACCGAGAATATTTTCTCAAGTAAGAAACTTTCATACTCGAATATACAAATGCTCTTTCAATTAATTAATTTCTACTATCATCAAAATCAATACTTTGCTTTCGAAATGGAAAATAATACCTTTTTGTGAATTCTTGTAAATTCTATCTCATGTTCGATGCGCTTTATTGCACACTTTTCGCTGTATTTTAAGTGTTCACATATATTTATTTTTAAAACTTTCAAAAGAAATATTCTACAGAATAAGAATGAGGGAGCTAAGCTTAAATTCACATCACAACACACACTACTACAAAATAAGCGCTGAATGATATTCCTTGGAAACTTACACAGCTTACAATTGGATATACGTGCAAACGCTGCTTCCAAAAAATGCTGTACAGGGGAGACAAAGGCTTGGTGTTAATAATTTTTGAAATAAATTCACAATTCTGGAGCAATAAAGAAAATAGTTTATTCAAAGTATTTAAAAGGTGATATTTTGAATTCAAAAGAAAAAAATTACACAAAACTCAGGCAAACTTTTGGAATCTTGGTTTGAGTCGACAAAATCAAATGGTTAAAAATTATTTAATTTAAGTATGAAAATTGTCCATACCCCGGAATACTCTCTCCAACATATCGGCCGGTGTCAAACGAATAAATTCTTCAGTAATAGATTCTGTAGTTACGGGCTTGTCCGTTGGCAGCACATTGACTGCCTCAAACGCAAAGTAAACTACTCACTAAAGTCGAATGTTAATTCGGTCATTATCAAGTCCAGCATTTTCATTTTGGCCAAAAAAAAGAGCTGTAATCATTGCACGGTATCGTTCGATATTCACCGCAGCAAAATATTTGGATAAAAGGCTGTTTTTCATCTAACTTTGCGGTTTAAGGTCTTGCCCAAATCCTCCCCAAATTTTTTCACGATCGAGCTAACAAAGACTGTGAACAGCGCTGAATCGATAATTCACGGTTTAATATCCAATAATATAAATTTCGAATAGCAGCTTTCGAATTTTCAAACGTTGTTCGTTTGTAACTAGATTCAGAGTTTAAAATTTATTCTCTCACAAAAAAAAAAAAAATTTTTATCAAAGTTTGACTGTATTAGGTCGACCAAACATTAATTATTCAATCATAAAATATGTGCAAATAAGGTTTCATTTTAACATAAAAACATCTATGAAACAATAAAAGTATTTTTATGATCTTGAGATCTTATATGGTGCTGACTATGGACGAGTTATTCACAAGAGTCAGGCATTTCTGATCGACTTTGAGGTTTTGGCATAGGGCCATTGGTAGAAGACATGTTTGGATAGTCCGTGGTGTATTTGAACTTTGCTGATGTTGGCAAATGTTTTGTTTGTTGTCGCTATATATTATTAATGTGGAAGACTTATCTATAATTAATTAATAGTGTTTAGCAATCACTGTACTGGCTGTTCGAACACTCCCGTGGTATAAATACTCTGTAATTAAGGTGAATATAACGTCAGAGATATATAATATATACACATACAATACAATTAATATTTTTTAAATATGAGATTTAAATTTTTCATTTAAGATTTATCACTGTCTGAAAAGAAGTTTGCGAATTTTTTCAGATGAAGCACTCCTTGACCATGCATTATATGCTCTCCAAAAATACAAAACGAAAAATAACTGAGATTTATACAAACCCTTTAAGATATATTTTTGTATATTATTTATTATTCTGGAACAAAATGTGAAAACTCATGCCATACAAAGGGAAAATTCTTAAAAATTGTTACTAATGTCTCAATTTATTCTCAAAACTTAAAGTTTAAATAACTATAAAAATTTAAGGGCTGAAATATTTTATACTCTTTATATGCAAATATTCCATAAGACCTATCCTTAAAGAAAAGGGCAGAAAATGAATGCAAATTTTATTTGACATGGCGTATGAGTAACTTTCCTAATTTAACTTAACTTTTCAACGAACGACATAGGTGGCCTATTTCAAACCAGCTACCTGTTTTTGAAAGGTTAACTAAAACCGACAAAACCTTTCGAAATCGTACAACAAAAAAATTGGAAAAAATCAAAAATGTTACTTTATGTGGACATTGTTGCATAGAAAGTTGATCCGCTATCAAACCCACTGATACCAAATTTGAGCTAATCATAAAGCCATCTCACCAATTAGTGCATTATATGAAACACAAGATTGCCCACTCTTGTTTAGGTCAATTCTAAAAAGCAGTGAAAACAATAAAAAATTCCAGGTAAGCGATGCCGGACCGCATTGAGACCTAGACAGTCACAGAGGTAGTATGACTCTGCAGTTCCGACAAAATCCGTAAGAGACGTAGTTTGTTATACTGCTAGTGCTTATCGGAGAGGTCTTTACGAAATTTGTGATGATAAAGAAAGTTCTGGTTACTTCACATGGAATCTATTCTCATTATACAATTTGGCATAAAATCTTGAAATGCACTTGCTGGCAAGCTGAGAGAATTAGGCTTGAAAACACAGAACTAAAAGTAAATCCTAAACGCAGGTGGTGAGATTTGAATCTCACTAGAAAAGAATACATAGCCACCTTGAAGTAATAAGAAAGCTTTTCCGGGCCGGGATGGGCGAAATAAAAAAAAATGACCTGGAAGTGACGCATAATAGTGAAATGACGACATACTAAAAGCTAAGGTTGTGTTGTACAA